GCCCGGCCTAAGATTATTTTTTTTAATGTTTTATCCAGCAATTTAAGTGTTTCTGCAAAAGAATAATCTAACTCACTACTACCCAAAATAGGAAGTTCAACAATTACTCTTAGATCCTGTTTTGAATATAAAGTGCTTGCAGGTGCCTCAGATCTGCGTAGTCCTGCGATCTCGAATGAGCAGATGTGGGCTGTGGTTCAGAAGTTGTATGAGAATCACAGAGGCTGGGGAATAGAAGAGATGAACTGAGGTGACCCGGCGTTGCCTGGTGACTGAGTGGGTGGTGTCAGTCTTCCTTTTACACCGCAGGGTAGTGGGAATCCTCTCAAAGATAGTGATGAGTGAAGCAAAGTGGTCAAAGTGACTCACGAATTTGGCTTTATCACCAAGGATCAAATGAGATGTGATCAAAGTCCTGAATCCAAAGAGGAGAGTGTTGTCAGAGAAGGTGTCTGCAGATGCTGTCTCTATGCTTCATGGCATTTATAGGTGTCAAAGACTTACATTTCAGGTTTCTTGTGTGTCTCCTTTGATTTTTGCAGAAGGATTTTTGTTCGTATTCGGGGGCCAAGACGAAAACAAGCAGACACTGAGCTCGGGAGAAAAGTACGACCCGGATGCAAACACGTGGACTGCATTGCCACCCATGAATGAGGTAAGATACTCGTTTTGTTTATTGGTTTGATATGTTTCTTTCTCCCCTTAGCACTTTTGTTTGTTTTGTGTTCAAGTGCGGGAGCAGAAGCCATGGCCCTGCCAAGCCCTGGCCCACTACGCTCCAGCCTGCCCCTCCAGCCCCTTTCTTGCCCCTGCCCATTCTGGCCTCCTCGCCGCTGCTCACACCTTCCAGGAACGCTCTGGGGCCTGTGCGTTTGCTCTTCCCCTCTAGAGCCTCTTCCCCCAGCGCCTGAGCGCCTTGTTCCCTCACCTGCCTCCGGTGTCTGTTCCTGTAGCACCTGCTCAGCCAGGGCTGCCTCCTGCCGCTCAGCTGCCCCATCCCCACTCTTCAAGCCCTGTCTCACCTTCTCGCAGACTAGGCAGTTGGAGCTTTTCACGTAAGCTCTTTGATGGCAGAGAATTTCAACTATTTTGGTCAGTGGTTTATTTTCAGTGCTAGACTCATGCTTGGCACATAGGGGCCACTAAGCAAATATTTGTCGATAGATGAATGCGAAATTCTCAGGGCTTCTGTAAGTCCAGACAGCCTTAGCTTGCCCTGTCCTCCTGCTGCCTCCCCCAGCCGTGGCCATTGGTATTGCTGTGGTTCTGACCCTGTCTTCCACACATCAGCTTGGAAACACTTACTGCCCGTCGCTATACAAAAACAATTTTACTAAACCAGAAGGTAATAGTTCTTTTTCTTGTTGTGAGCTATTGTGGGTTAAAAGGTAAAGATTTTGCTGGTGAATTCACCACATATTTTATAACCTTGTTCTGAGAAATTACTAGCTCTGTGCTCTCTGGCGATCGTGCTAGAAGTGTGGGCTGCCAGGGAAACCAGAAATATTTAAGAAGCGTTCCTAGGAGAAATGGTTTTGAACATGGTACTAGCTTTCAACATGATCATCGACCTTTTGTATACAAAGATCTTTGATGTCTTTTCAGGCAAGACATAACTTTGGAATCGTGGAGATAGATGGGATGCTTTACGTTCTAGGAGGAGAGGATGGTGAAAAGGAGCTGATCTCCATGGAGTGTTATGACATTTATTCTAAAACCTGGACAAAGCAACCTGACTTGACCATGGTTAGAAAGGTGAGAACTGTATCTTGTGATAACTGTGTACAAATTGGATTTTAAAGTTAATGTTTCTTCTTTTCCTGAATATGCCTTTAATTCAACTGATAATGTTAAAAGAATTAACATGAAAGAATTCCGTCTTTATTGGTAGCTTGCCTTCACTGTCACCCGCCACATACGTACACACCAAGATAGGAAAGTGAGTCTGTCCCGCTGGTGGGTGTGTGGGGCTTTGTGAACACACTAACCTCGGGAGCAACCAGAGCTCCCAACTGTTTTCTTAAGCATCTTGCTGGATTAGGGAGAAACAGGAGTCTGTAGGTAAAGAACTGTTGCTCACCGAGTAGAATGAGAACAAAGGGCTCACCTTGAATGTTCGGAGGATGGGCCGTCTGTATTTATGTTCCCTGTTGTAGGTGGGGAGTTACCATCAAGCCAAAGCTTTGCCCAGTGCCATGCGTACTTTGCGTCTTCGGGGACTGGGATATACTCATATTCTCTCACAGAACGTGCCCTTTCAGCTACGTTATTTTTTTTTTTTTTTTTTTTTTTTTTTTTTTTTGCTACGTTATTTTGGACAGGAATTGCAGAGAATCTCATTCCATGAAATCTAAATCTTGGAGTCCTCAAATAATGGTGAAAGAGTAGAAAGATTGGAAAGCCCTTTAAAACATTAGGATTCTTTATCTCACTTAGTGAAATACTATTGGATGGAGTAAGAGCTCCTTTTCTGAGGATTAACAATGTGTATATTACCTTGCTCTTATTTCTTAAAGTCCTGTGTTGTAATATCGGAAAGCACCATTGTTCTGCTGTTAGAAATCACATCTTTTCCTAAATATCTTAAAGTGCTGTCTGCACAAGTAAATGTTTGTTTGCATAACCTTAGTAATAAATGTTGCCTTCCCCTGCCATCGTTTCCTTCTTTCAGATTGGCTGCTATGCAGCTATGAAAAAGAAAATCTACGCCATGGGTGGAGGATCATACGGAAAACTTTTTGAATCCGTGGAATGTTACGATCCAAGGACCCAGCAATGGACTGCTATCTGTCCACTGAAAGAGAGGAGGTGCGTGATTGTGGATATGGACCTTGTGGGTTCCCTTACTGTTCACGGGGCCTGAAGCCCCTTACCGTGGCTTTTGCTTCTCTTTTCTTTCAACGTAACCTTTTATTTGACTTGGTGTTTCCTGAAAGAGGAAGGCCCACAGAGTCATGAAACACCGAATGTTGCAGAGTTAAAACAAGTGTAAGGGGAATTAGGGAACCAGGTCTTGAGTTGTAAATTCAGTACAACTAACGTGCTGTGTGTGGCTTTCCAGATTTGGAGCAGTGGCCTGTGGAGTTGCCATGGAACTGTACGTGTTTGGGGGAGTCAGAAGTCGTGAGGACATCCAGGGTGGTGAGATGGTAACTTGCAAGTCAGAGTTCTACCATGATGAATTTAAAAGGTAATTATGAATGGTTTCACGTAGCTTCCGCAGCTTTTTTTTTATGCTTTCAAAGTCATATTTAGCTTTGTTTAGTTTTATTTTCAAGTTGCTTCATTGTCTATTTAAAAGATATATGTAATGCGTGCTAGATATTTATTCAGTGACTTCAGAAGTATTGGAAACTTAAAGGAAAACCATAGAAAAATGTCTCTAAAACGTAGATCAGATGTTGACAGTTAATGCTTAAAATCATTTATTATCTCCCTATAGCTTTTAGGAACATGTCTAAGCTGCGTAACTCAGCACATACGGGCCTTAGGTTTACCTTTTCTGCTGCTATGTGACCCAGACGCTTCACACTGAGCCAGTTTTTCCCCCAGACATGTATGATTATCTCAGCTCTGTTTGCATGCTATTCTTTTTACCTAAAACCTCCTTTCCCAGTGTTCAGCCAGTTAACTTGGCCTTTTTTCAAAAATTCTGCTTAATGATCACTACCTAGAGAAAGCCTTCTCATGTCCCCCAGTCTGATTTAAATTCCTCAGTCTGTGATCACATAGCTGTCTATACGTGCCTCTTTCTGAGGTTGTAACTGTTAACTGTAAGCAACTTCAGGACAAGGTCCTACTTAATCGACTCTGTATCCTACCGTCCAGCATCCTTCCTGGCCTGTATTAGACACTCAGTAAAATGCTGTGGATGAGGGGTAGTGCCTGAATCCATAAAACATCTGATGAGCTGTTGTATAGATCTTACAGAGTAGATAACATCCTTCTCCACCCCTCTTTGCTCCCCTCATGCATTTTATCATTGTAGTCACTAAATAGTATTTTTATTGCAGTAATACGTGCAAATCCTGAGGGGAGATTGCTATGCTAAAAATAATCTTGTCAGAGCATTTCAGTTGTGTTACCAGAAGGGGGTGCCATAATATTATGTTTCATTTCATACTATTTTTGATTAGGGCAGTGAACAGTTACCAGAATGTTAGAAGTACATAGAAATGTTACCTAACTTTTAATATATTTTATATTTGGGATATTTGCATAGCTTCTTTGTTCAATTATAGGGGTAGACTATCTTAGGAAAATTTATTAGACAAAGTATGAGAGCAGTTTGGAGCATATTTGCCTACAGTATGGGTGACAGGCAGAATTTCGAAGATTTTTCTACATTTCTCCTTCCTTGATATATGACTATGAGGGCTGACTGCCCAACATAGGAAGTTTTAAATTCATTTCCTGCCCAAATGAATCTTGAGATATACTGTCCAACTTCATTAGCAAGCAGTAGCCAGTGTGTTTGGTTTCTGATAAAATATTGATATACATTTTTTTGTAATGATCGAATTACTGTTTGGACAGCGTGAACAAGTGTCTCTTGTTGGAGGAGTCAAGTTTGCTTATGTTCGACCATTGGCCATCCCTGTTTTGATTGTGTAGGACTTAAATCTGGTTGTGACGTTTCTCATGTCCTTAACATGCTGTAAGTTGTTAGAACCATTATATTTCTATCAAGTTGTTTCATATTTGTAGTTGATAGACTTTAAATATAATATTACTTGCTTTAAGTTCGTAGTTATTAAACATAAGGGTGTTGCTCCTTCCTTGCTATTTAAAAGCACTTTCAAATAAAATTCGTATATCTTCCATTTCCTTATTTCCAATGTTAGTTTGTGAATAGACTGAAGAAAGCTATTAATTTCTTTTATCAATATAATATATGTAGGATTCTTACATGTTTAGATAGTAAACATGTGTACAAACCCAGTGGCATGTGTTAACTCATTTAATCTTCAAAACAGCACTCTGAGGTAGAGGTACTATTGTTACTGCTCTTTTACATATGAGGAAACCACAGCACAGAGAGGATAAGTAAAGTGGCCAGGGACACACAAGTAGCAAGTGGCAGAGGTGGAATTCAGACTCAGGCATTCTGGCTCCAGAGTCCACCTTTGCAGCTACCCCACTGTATTGACTTAAAAGTACAGGCTTTCCCGTGAATACCTATAGAACAAAATGACACGTAGGAGGAGTTTATTTCTCAAAAGGTCAGATGTTTCCAAGCGTGTTATATTTGCATTCTGTGGAAACTGTTGCCAGATGAGCAATCTGTAATAGATTGGAACCCATTTAAATTGTTTTTAAGTAATCTCTTGTCTTTCCTGCCTTTGTTTCCTATTTTTAGATGGAAACTTTCCTGGAAAAATGCCACATCTCATTATTTTCTGTGTTTCTGAATAAAAGTAAAACTGTTTGAGAGAAAGCAAAGAAATTGCCATAAATTATTACCAAGTCATAGTAACAACTTAATATACCCAGAATGACAGTTTCTCTATTTCTGTTCTCGTGTCCCTGTTAATAAAGCCACCGTCTTCCCAGTTATCCATACTCAACAAGGGGTCATCATGGGTTCTGTCTTACACATCACAACTCATTGGGTGCCAAGTCTTATCTTTTTTTAAGCTCTAGTATTTTTCACACACTCTCCACCTTCAGCTCTTTGTCCTGCCCTGATGCAGACACTTCATCCGCAAAGGTCACTAGCCCAGTCCTGGCTAGTGCAATTACCTACGTGTGCCTTCAAAAGATCAGTCTGACACACACTTTGGTCATTTTATTCCCCTGCTCAAAATTCTTCACTGTTCCCCGTTGCTTACCAAATAAAGAATATTTAGCCTCCTACTCAGGGTGCTCTGTGATCTGAGGCTAAGAAAACTTTTCAGGGCACTGTGTTAGTCCATAGAGATTTAATCACCTTGATGTTCCACAAACTGGCACGTCGGTTACCCCATTGCCCACATCGTACTGTTTGTGTGACATGTGAACTAGAGGAGGAAAGATGAACCCCACTCCTGACCACATCCATTTCAGCCATGGTCCAGTCAAGAGACAGAAGCCACACCAGTAATTTGAACAGGGAAAATGTAATATACGTTATTATTAACAAGTAAGAGGTGGTCAGCTACTAAAAGGGGTGAAAGAGGACTCTGAAGAATGTAGAAATAGCTAATGTAGGAAGCATAGGGAAAGGAACAAATCGGGAAGAGTCCTCCCCACCCCACAAGGCTGAGATTCATCCCACTGGAAGCAGATGTGCCGAGGCCCACTGGGGGGCAGAACACCAGGGTGCCAGGGGCCAGCAAAAGCCTGGAAATTACGCCCTGGTCTCTTGCTCATTGGTGGGCAGTGCAGCAGGAGGAAGAGGAGGGCGACTGACCCTGGGAGAGCTGCCCTTTCCTCTCCTGGCCTTCTGCACCCTCTGTGGATGAAGAACCAGCTGCTCATTTGGTTCATTTCCCCATTGTGTTTTCTGCTTCACTGATTTCCATGCTTATCTATATTATTTCTGTGGTTTTACTTACTTGGGTTTATTTTACTCTTTTCTAGCTTCTTCAGATGGAATTTTAGATCACTGACGGTAGACCTTTTTATTTTTCTAACACGCACAGTTGAAGCTTTAAATTTCCGGCGGAGCACCACGTTAGCTGTGTCTCAGACGTTTTGGTGTTTTATTTTCATTCAGTGTGAAATAAACTTTTTTCCTTCTTCAGACTGGATGATTTCTATTGATCTGTCTTCAGGGTTGCTGCTCCTTTTCTTTGTTTTCTCCATTCTGTTGTTGTTACCATCTGGTAAACATTTTATTCCAAATATTAGGTTTTCAATTCTAAAATTTTTTGTAGTTTGTTTTTAGGTTTTTTTAATTTCTGTGCTGACATTTCCTATCTTTCCATCATAAGCATATTTCCCTTTTCCTTACTGAGCATCGCTATGGTAGCTTTGTTCAAGTCCCTGCCTGTTAATCATGAGTCATCTCCGAGTTGGCATCTATTGACTGTTTACTCCCTTGAGCATGGGTTCTCCTTTTTCCTCTCCTCTTTGTTGAGTAATTCTGCATTGCATCCTGGACAATTTTAATATTATGTTGTTGAGGCCCTGAATTCTCGTATACTGCTTTAGAGTGTTGCTCAGAGAGTTTTAGTATCAATTAACTTGGTTAGGCTTAAATTGCAGGCTGCAGTGGGTGGCGGCTCAGATCTCAGTTCAGTTCTTTGAGCCTTAGTTATAAACGTCCATGGTTCCAGGGTCAGAGACTTGAGATGAGTGGATGCACACAAGTTTAGGGGTGCCTTTCTATCTCTTTTCTTTCTGGGGTTCTCCACTGACACTTTGGTGATCCTGGTTGCCCCAAGAGTCCATCCTAATTCCTGATTCCTGTAGCCAGAAAGGCGGCCAGGTTTCCTTCGGGAGTTCAGCTACCCAGAGCTGCCTCCCTCGTGCTGCCTTCAGAGACAGCTACCAAGAACCAGGAAACTCACTCCATGTGGGGTGCTCGCTCAACTTTCAGTTCCTTTCCAAAATCTGCCTGCCTTTGTTCAGTTTCCAGAGCTTTCAGGTAGCTGTATTTTGTCCCAAGTTTTTAGCTGATAGTTGCAGCAGCAATTGGTTAAGTGCTTCCTCCGCCATACTGGGAGCAGCACCTCACTAAGCTCTCTCTTTCTTTCCTCCTCCCTCCTCTGTAATTAATCACCCTCCTTCCCCCTACAGCTCTTGCCCTTCCTACTTTGCTCTCGCCGGAGTGCGCTGCTGGGATCCATTCTGTATTGTAAAGTTCCATTCTTAGGGGGCAGTCTTCAGTCTGAGTTACCAGAGGACACGTCATTGTAGCCTCCGAGTACTAATAAGCAGTGCACCCATGTTTGAAAACATTGTTAACTAGCGGCATACTATTACCTTGTTCATTGCAAAAACTACTATCATTTAATGATACCTACTGTGTACTAGAAACTGCAAAATGCTTTGCATTGGCATTTCATTTCATCCTCCCAACAACCATTTGAGGTTGGTGGTAGTATCTGGTATCCCCACTTTACAGATGAGGAAGCAGAGACTAGGTTAGCTAAATTGTCCAAGGCTAACGAGGTGGTAAGTGGCATTCAAAACCACGTGCCTTTTACACCTGCTTTATAAGCAGTAAAACCTAAATACATGTTTCAATTAGAATTTCAAATATTTAATTTGAAGCCTCAGAATTACACAAAATAGGTTACCTAAGCTTATTTTTCTGAAACCCAGGAACTCTGTTTTATTGAACTGCTCAGGACCAAATTTGGTAGATCACCTACATAGTGTAGTTTGCTCAGCTTCGTATCATTGTTCCAGGGATGAATTATGTTAAATTCTCAACTCCGTAAAGTTATTCCAAAACATCAGTGTGTTCTGACATGCCTTTTCAGTAATGTAGTCATATATGTTTTAATTTAGAGCGTTCGCACGGTCCCGTTCATGGGTTTGTCAGAAGAGTTGTGTGCTTTCCCGTGGGGGTTGACCTGGGTGTCCGGTTCAGCTGTAGACAAGGCACAGTGATATCGTCAGCTTTGATTCAGAACCTGGGAAGAATTTAAGTGCCGAGGTTCAGTTATTTGTGTTTAGCCCTGAAGACATGAAATGTGAATAAACTAGTATCGTAGTTTGACATTTCTCAAACTTTTTCTTTCAGAGGCCTGTCCGGGGTCTCTATTTTCACTTTCAATGCAAGCTCTTAGACTTTCCCCTTTTCCTTTTTCTTGGAGGCATTTGGAGGCAGGGGCCAAAGTCTGTATTCCCAGTGCCAGCACACTACCTTGCACCAGTCAACATTTAGATGTCAGATGAATCAAGCGTTAGATGAATGTATTTAGAAATATGGGAGCTCAGCTTTGTTTCTGACTTGTCACAGGATGTTGGACAAATCATTTTGCTTCCATGTGTCTTAGAATTCAAAATATGAAACTACTTACTACTTTAACAGTCGGGGAAGAGTATTCATTAAAACAAAAGTGGTATTCTTTTTTACATATATATTTGGCACTGAGATGCCCTAAACCTAAGCTACTTGCCTTTTGGCTGCTTCATAGCATAGAGTTAGGGATAATGAAACAATGTCCGTACATCTGTATGTTCCAATAATGGGTGCAGGCCTGGACATCAGTAGCTTATAAGGGTATTTAGACACATTCCCAAGCTCCTGCTGAAATCTACTGTGACCTGGCTGTGCCTGTCAGCTAATAGCAGGAAATAGGTTTTCCACATTACCCTGAGTGAACATTACATAGCAGGATCTACATTTACCTTTTCTTGGTGAGACAGGGTCTTGCTCTGTCACCCAGACCAGAGTGCAGTGGTGCGATCACAGCTCACTGCAACCTCCGACTACCAGGCTGAAGTGATTTTCCTGGCTCAGCCTCCCGACCAACTAGGACTATAGGCACGTGCCACTATACCTGGCCAGTTTTTTTTTTAAGAGACAGGGTCTCACTATGTTGCCCAGGCTGGTCTTGAACTTTTGGGCTCAAGCAGTCCTTTTGCCTTGGCCTCCCAAAGAACTGAGATTACAGGCGTGAGCTACCATGCCCAGCTTAGATTCATGAAGGGAGGGAGGAGAAAAAAACATGTATTTTGGAGTAATTTTAGACTTGTAGAAAAGTTGCAAAAATAGCCAAAGAGTTCCCATTTCCACAAGCCATTCACTCAGCTTCTCCTAATATTAACATCTTACATAACCATAGTATAAAACATCAAAACCAGAATATTTATGTTGTCCAATATTATTAAGTAAACTACATATTTATTGGAGTTTTGCCAGGTTTTCTGCTCACGTTTTTTTTTTCTGTTCACAGATCCAATCCAGGATCCTCCTTTGCATTCAGTTGTGTTTCCTTCGTCTCCTTTAACTGTGACTTCTCTTCAGTCTTTCCTTGTCTTTCATGACCTTGATACTCTGGAAGATTATTGGTCAGGTTTTTTTTTGTTTTTGTAAAACATTTCTTAATTTGGATTTATCTAATGATCTCTTGTGATTAGACTGAGGCTGTGCGTCGTGGCAATCCCCCAGTGGTCATGTTACCCCTTTCCCCACGTCACATCGGGGAGAACATGTCGATATGCTTTATTGCTGGTGACGTTAACCTTGGTTACTTGGTTAAGGTGGTGTCTGTTGGGTTTCTTCACTGGAAAGTTACTCTTTTTCCCATTGTAGTTAATAAATATCTTGGAGGAGATAACTTCAAAATATGCAAAACTTGTTTGTTTTTAAACTTTTGCCCACTGATTTTAGCATCCATCAGTAGATCTAGCCTGCAGTAGTTGTCACTATGGCATTTGCCTAATGGTGATTTCTGTTTCCCTCATTCCTTCTACGCTTATTTATTGGAATTCTTCTGTAAAGAAAACCTGTCCCTTCTCCCTATTGTTAAATTTTTTAGAATTATTTATAGTAGTATATATTCGTGGATATTTGTTTTATTCTCTGAGTTATAAATCCAATACTATCATTATTTATTTCCTTGCTCACATTGTTCCAGCCTCAGCCAGTGGGGGCTGCTTCATATTGGCTCCTGTGGCCTTTTGACACAACGCCATCCTTCTTTAAGCACTTCCTGTCTGGCACCACGAGATGCTCCAGGCTTATTTTGTATTTTCTCTGCCTCAGCTCTGGAATCAGCCACTTCTTCATGGAGTCCTGGATCGTTTTAATGGTTATTAAATTGATTTTCAATAGAGGTGCCAAGGCAATTTAGTAGGAAAGGAAGAGCCTTCAGCAAATAGTGCTGGAACAGCTAGCTATCTATATGGAAGAAAGTGAACTGTGACTCATAGCATGCAAAAAATTAACTGGAAATGTATCATAGACTTAAATGTAAAAGCTAAAACCATAAAATTCCCAGAAGAGAGCACAGGAGAAAAGTCTTTGTAATGTTGGGATAGGCAAAGATTTTCCTAGAAGGACACAGAAATCATGACTGTATTAAAAAAATAAAAAAGATTTTATATTGGAATTCATCAAAATTAAAAAATTTTCTTTAAAAGATTCTGTTAAGAAAATGAAAAAGCAACCTACATGCTGGGAAAAAATATTCATAGCACATGTATCTAACAAAGGACTTGTATCCACAAAATATAAAGAATCTTGCAATTCAATAATAAGGCAGGAGACTCAATTTTTAAAATGAGCAAACCTTTGAACAGACATTTCACAAAAAAAAAAATGCATAAAATGGCCAATGAGCCCATGTCAAGATGCTCAACATCATTAGCTCTCAGGGAAGTTCATACCATTAAAATGGCTAAAATTAAAAAGACTGACAATACCAGAGTTGACAACAATACCGAGCAATTGTACTTCTCACACATTGCTAACGGAATGCAAAATGGCACAACACTTTGGAAAGCATGGGGCATTTTCTTACCGAGTGGCATATACCCTCACCATAAAACCCAGCAATTCCATAACATAAGCCCACAGGAAAGACTTGCTCTGTAATGTTCACAACAGCTTTGTTGACTACAGCCCAGAACCGGAAGCTACCCAAATGAACACCAGTAGGTGAATGAATGACAAATTCTTGTACATCCATATAATGAAATACTACTTAGAAATAAAAAGAAGTGAGTGACTGATGGAAGCAGCATCGTGGCTGAATCGCAGAAACCTTGCGCTGCGCAGAAGAAGCAGATTGAAAAGTACATACTCCTTAGGATCCAGTATCTGTTTCATTCTAGCACAGGCAAAACTAATACCCATAGTGACGGGGAGCACAGCAGTGGTTACCTGGCAGTGGAGTGTGGGGGTCACGGTTGGCACGGTGCCTAGGACTGTGGGTGACTCACCAGTTTTTGTGGTCTCGGTCTCCCTAGATGTCGTAGTCATCCTTTTGATTTCCTTCATTCTGTCCATTGGCTTTGTTTCCAGGTGGATCTATCTTAATGACCAGAATTTGTGCATCCCCGCCAGTTCTTCTTTTGTTTATGGAGCTGTACCTATAGGAGCCAGTATTTATGTTATTGGCGATCTCGATACAGGTAAGAGTGTTAGGGTGATTTTGTTGGAACGTGTTTGCGTGGGATTTGGAGGCACATTGCATCACGTTTGCTTATTTTCCTGGTTTAGGTACCAATTATGACTACGTGCGTGAGTTTAAAAGAAGCACAGGAACCTGGCACCACACTAAACCGCTCCTTCCATCTGACCTTCGCCGCACAGGGTGTGCAGCCTTACGTATTGCAAATTGCAAGCTTTTCCGCCTGCAGCTTCAGCAAGGCTTATTCCGTATTCGTGTTCATTCACCCTGAAGAGGAAGCGGAGCAGAGAGCGAGACCCTGACCCAGGAGCACCATAACATAGCTTTACGTAAGGGAGGACAGAGATGGCCGCAGACACTTACTGCGTGCTGGGCTTTGGGACGGTAACTCTTTGGTGGTTTTATTACGCTTACAAGCTTGAGCTTCAGCTCTTCTTTGGGAGAACGTGTAACTATTGAAAAACTACCTGGGAGGAATCAGTTCCTCCAGTTAGATGTGTCTGTACACAGTGGAGGCTAGTAAATATCAACAGGAAAAGGGAGTGGGAATCGGTGTCATGTAAAATATTGACGTTAACATACTAAGGTGCATTTTCCCTGAAGGGAACTCACATCTGACTGACTGCTGTTTTCAAATATGTGGCTTTGGTAAACAAACAAAAATATCCATATATGCAAATCAACATATCCAAACTTGCCAAGATTGCTTTTCTACTGCACTTGGAAGGATATATCATGCCTAACCCTGCCCAACCAATTAAGGTTTGTGCCTAAAATGTTAGATTGGACTACACGCCAATTAGTCTCCATTTATTACTAATACTCTGTCCTAAGAATGTTTTTAAAACCATATTATGATGAATTGAAGATCAAATTTCTCTTTTATAACATTCTATCTTAGTAATGTAAAGTTTCAATAAATTGATGAGTTAGGTTGCAGCCCTCACACGAACTTAAAGGAAGTTGCCAACCTCTGTGTTAATGTAGATGATGACACGTCCTGCCGTCATTGCCGGGGTAATACTTTTGGAGTTGTGAAGGATCTCATGCAGTGCCATTGTTCCTTTTCAGTGGATCAGAACCATTTTATAAGTGTGAGGAT